GTGTGTGTGTGTGTGTGTGTGTGTGTGTGTGTGTGTGTGTGTGTGTGTGTGTGTGCACGAGGCACGAGGAGCAGCAAGTTTTCATCTGAAATTTCCTTTCGATAGATTCATTTTGCCATCTAGACGGAGGAGATACTCAAATAGGAGACAGCCACCAGCTTTACCTCACCCGGCAGACCTCTTAGCTCCTTCTCTCTCTCTCTCTCTCTCTCTCTCTCTCTCTCTCTCTCTCTCTCTCTCTCTCTCTCTGTCTGTCTCTCTCTCTCTCTCTCTCTCTCTCTTTTCCGTCGAGATATTATTAAATTCATCCTCCAGGACCTCCATGGATTCTCCAGAGATCCATTTTGCCATCCAGATCGAGGAGATATCTCAAGCGGGAGATGGCCGCCAGCTTTATCCTTCAAATTTATCGTCCACATGTTCCGTCTGTCATCTGGATTGAGAACAGCCCCCTCCATAGATTCCGAGCATACTCACACTAGGACTTTATTTGCATGTATTGCACTGCAATTACGGCCATCCGTGGGTGTATCTGATCACAATTACATCCACCGCCGAGTAGAAAAGGTGCTCCTAGTGCGAGTATTCCCTGAGTTCGCCATGTGGATCGAGGAGAGATTGGACACGATGGGAGAAAGCGGCAAAAAGCTTCACGCAAAATTTCCTCTCCACAGATTCAATCTGTCATCTAGATCGAGGAGAAGAGGAAGGGTATCAGGCATGAACTTGCGTGCAAATAGGATACAGGCCCCCTGGTCCTTATTCCATGCAGAGCAATTGCCGGCTCGAATCGTCTTCATCATAAGCTCCTCGTTCACCTCTGTCGTGTTGTATGGCCTTGGATGCGCAGTGTCGCCTGGCCGCCAAGAGACGTGAAAAATTGTATCGTGTGCAAGATTCGCGGGGTCGATCACGTTCAACATAGTATGGATGTAGTGCTCATCTGGAAAACACCATTCATGCTGCACGTTGATTGTGTCGTAGCACCAAACCAGGAACTTATAAAAGAAGTACCGGTCCGTAACGACAATCTGAGCATGGTGACGAGTCAGCGATATCCACTGCGGTCCCTTCCGGAATACTGCGAACGGAACCTCGGGCATCAAGACGAGTCGATAACGATAAGACACAATCCACTCTTCCTGCTTGTTCCAGCCGAAGCTAACATTGGTAGAGAACAAGAACCGGTAGACAGTGGGAAAATCGACAACAGGTATGCAGGCTTCGGAAATGACGATGAAGCGGTCATTAAACGGGTTCTGTAAGGCAGCGACAAACAACCTCCTTTCAGCGTTCATCATCGACATAGATCCAATCACCACCGGCTCGCTGCGGATAAGCTTGTCGGCGAACAACCGAGTTTCGCTGGTGTTAAGAGAAGTGTTGTAATGGAAATTCGGATGGGCGTGGACATATATCGTGTAGAAACGGTCATGCCCCTGGAAAAACCGCTCCCAGATCGGAGCAAACGGCATCGGCCCGCGGGTGAGAAACAGAAAGGCGATGAGCCGTTCCTGACCCTGCCGACGACACCTTCGCCGCCCCGCATTCGCTAGCTGCTGCTCGACGCTCTTAAACATCTCAATGTCCGGGGTGGACAAACCGAGATATTGCCACAAAGGAGCCGTTGCCGAGTTGTTGATTGTGTAGATCGGCACATCCTCGACTTCGTGGGTACAGTTTGCAACATCCGTTGTCGCCATCGTCGGAGCATCACCACTAGGCGCTAGCCCCATCGGCAATCCGCCCAACGATATAGGTTGAGGATCGGAAGGTGTTCCGGACTCTCGCTCTCCTCTACTTTGCAGTGGTGCGATTGAGGAAGAAGCGGGTGCCCCATTGTCGGGGGGAGTGTTTACGTCATTGCCAAGCGAAAGCACACGCGGCGACAGGAGATCACTTGCAGGATTCTTGTCCTGATCCTGTGCAGAATCATTGACAAAGTTTGCTGTGCTCCGACTGGAATCGTTGTCGAAGTCCTCCTGTCGCAGGTAGACACGAGCACTGTCCTGTCGCAGGTAGACACTAGCACTGTCCTGCACAGAGAGTTGGAATACGCGCGCTGCGTCGTTCCAATAGGCGCACATGCTCAGTCCCACAGTGATGATGCAAAGGGCCAGCACCTTAGTCAATTTGGCATTGCCTTGCGATGAGGAACTGGATCCATGTCCGGACCATCGTGAAGAAGAAGGATAAGCAGTGGTGTGGTAATCCTCGAAAAGATGACCCATCCTTACCTACAGTAATCCTCACCAGATGAAGAGTGCGCCTCCTCCAAGGTTATTTATAATTAAAAAAAACAAACAAAAAACAGAGAAGATGCTTTCAAAAGAGTGACCACGGGTCCGTTCCAAAGGGACCAAAAGGAAGATTAAAAAGAACACAAGGGAGTCTGAGTCTGAAAATCCTACAAACGTAGAGCATTCACTACAGAAAAAAAGAAAATGGAAAGGGGATAAGAAAGGGGGGAAATCTAGAAGAAGAAAACTCAGGCCTTGTAACGACCTCGCGTGTCGATAAACAGAGTGACGTGACTGTCAGTATAATAGACACACACACAAAACAAAAAACAGGGGTACTATAGACACCTTAATGACCCACATCGGGAACGCAACATCCGACCACGAAATTGCGGTGGCTATTCTATACCGGAAAGCTTTTGTGTCGGCTTCTTTATCCTTTATAGACACCTTCCTCTCCTTTCCACAAGAACAGTGTCAGAACTGCACCGGCAAACGAACCTGGTCCATTACACCGACAACCGAACCATTACACCGACAACCGAATCATAACACCGACAACCAAATCATAACACCGACAACGACAATCTAGCCTCTAAACTCCGTCCACGGTTATGGGAGCAATCAGTCGAAGGCCGTAAAGCAATGCACATCCATACCCTCCCCCCCCTCCACTTCCAACACCATCACAGGGTGGAAACAACTGCCTGTTCCTGACTACCCTTCAAACCCCTTCATTCGGAACTGTTCACTCGGTTAACCACCTCCCCCGCTACCCCCCGCTCCCCCCCCGGGCAATTACTGATTATTACCTACCCTTCAACACCCTCCCCCGCGACCCCCC